ACACTTCTAAATGTATAAGATAAATTTCTTGAGATAATTCTCCTGTCCCACGGGAAACTCCTACCAGGTCCATTTGGTGGTTTTGAAATTCCCAAAGTTAGAGTCAAGCTGGAGCCTACCCTCTCTGGAAAGCAGCAAAACCATCAGTGTCTGTGCAGAGAACCTCATATAACTTTGTTTACATCCCAATCACATTTCTGTCACCACTTTTTCCTCCCACAGGAGAGAAATGTTTTAAATCCTCAGGAAGCAGCCATACCACTGAGATTATCTTTTAACTGCACAGGCAACATGTGAAAGTGATAAATTGTGTGATCTGGAAACTCATGAAGACCTAAAGGCTTTCTCTATTCCAGTGGTTCTCAACCTGTGGGTCGCGAACAATGAAAATACATCCTGCATGTCAGATATTTACATTACGATTCATAACAGTAGCAAAATTATAGTTATGAAGTAGCAACAAAAATAATTTTATGGTTGGGGGTCACCACAACATGAGGAACTGTATTAAAGGGTCGCAGCATTAGGAAGGTTGAGAACCACTGCTTCAGTACCACCAGCTGGTCCAATCCCCTTCTTCAGATCAATGCGGGCCACCGGGGTAACCTGGCAGAAATACCAAGGAGGAAAGCAATGCTGGCATGTGCCTGAGTGACCTGCTTGTTAGTGGACTGCTGAAAAATCAAATGAACAGTACAATGCCTACCTTTTTAGCCCTTTACCTCCTCATTACCACGACAAGACTGAGAAACTTTTAGGAGCAGATACACTGGAATCAGTCCAAAGCAATACAAGCATCTCCAGAGAGTACAAAGCAGATGCACCATCGTTAATAGAGGGGTTAGGGAGTGCCACTGGAGGTTGTGAAATCAGCAACACTTGGCTTGCAGTTTCCTGCTTCCTCCTACAAGTTTAGTAAACCCTCAGCTGCACTCTTGTGACAACTTTCCTTTCGCAGCTCTTACTTTGCAAGAAGTTTTCTAATAATTCCAATTATAACTATATCATGCACAAGGAAGAGGTCATAAAAGGCCACGCCCACAGTGTGGTGCAGGGGTGGGAGTGGAGGTGGATAAAGAACATGGGTAAGGTCTGGCTGGCATGGCTCAGTGGTTGAGCATTGACCTATGAACCAGGAGGTCACGGTTTGATTCCCAGTCAGGGCACATGCCCAGGTTGTGACCTCGATCTTCAGTAGGGGATGTGCAGGAGGCAGCCGGACAATGATTCTCTCTCTCATCATTGATGTTTTTATCTCTCCCTCCCTCTCCATTCCTCTCTGAAATCAATAATATATATATATATTACTATTATATATAGAGAGAGAGAGAGAGAGAGAGAGAGAGACAGAGACAGAGACAGAGAGAGAGAGAGTGAGAACACTTAAAGGAGAACTGGAAGTTTCATGAAATATTACAAAAGTTAGCAGAAAAATGATTCCATGGTTTAATAACTTTGAGAAATGTTGGGTCAAAGTTGAGTAAATATCTTTACTGTAGGATTTCTCAGAGCCTTTAACAAATTAACAAGACTTATCAATCTTCAAAAAAAAAGAAATATGTAGTGATTCCCAAAAACTTATTACTCAGAACATACACTACTTTAAAAGTACTGTCTTGCCCAGCTGGCATGGTTGAGCGTCAACCTATGAACCAAGAGGTCACAGTTCAATTCCCAGGTTGCCAGCTCAATGCGGGGCGTGCAGGAGACGGCTGATCAATGATTCTCTCTCATCATTGATGTTTCTATCTCTCTCTCCCTCTCCCTTCCTCTCTGAAATCAATTTAAAAATATATATATTTTAAAAAGTACTGTCTTAAAAAGCATAAGGCAATTATTCCAGCCCCACACACTGGGGGAAAAAATAGCTTTGCTAATGCTAATTTGTTACTTTCACCCCTATCAGTACTCTCATTTTTTAAAATGTTTTTTTAATTGATTTTAGAGAGGAAGGGAGAGGGATAGAGAGACAGAAACATCGATGAGAAACAGCAATCGGCTGCCTCCTGTACTGGGGATTGAGCCCGAAACCTGGGCAGGGCACATGACCGGGAATCGAACCAGGGAACTCTTGGTTCATAGATCAATGCTCAACCACTGAGCCACACCAGCCAGGCAGTACTCTCATTTTAAGGATGGTGGTGGTGATGATGACATAACATTTTTTTCCTTGGCTGGCTAAATAACTCCAGAGCAGTTTAAGACAATATCTGAGCTTAAAAACCTTTAAAACAACACTGTTCTGGGAATGAGATCCAGGTCTGGGCTCCTCCTTGCTGCAAATTATCCAGTGACTCAGGCATGTCCCATCCTCATTGGGTTCTTGGTTTTCTCATCTCTAACTGAAGGGGTTAGAACAGACTTCTGAGGATATTCCCAGCTTTAATAGTCCACCATGGACTCTGGATGCTAATATATTTTCACAACCCACCATCAGGTGATAGAAACAAAAGACTCTGTTTTGAAGGCTGGCCTTCACCTCCCTCCTGAGTTCTGTGCCAACACCATGGGTAATGAAGCTGGGCCCACACCCTGTCACCCAAAGGCTTGCACCCTCCACTGTCCCAGCCCTGGCAGTCAGGGAACCAGATGCTGCCATTACAAGGAGAGGGAGAGCAGCTCCAGAAGGAGTTTGGGGGCCTCACTTCCAAAGCTCCTTCTCCCCACACAACTGTGCACCAAGAGGGGAAACCAGCCCAGAGTATGGAGAAGAATCATAGCCAGCCAACTCTCTTCTTCCTTCAAAGGATTCCCCAACCAGATGTTGCTCTTCACAGGCCCACAGCTGTTTCCTGTCCTGCCATATTCTGGGATTGCCTGATGGACAGATTGTCTTGCTTGAATGCAGAAGTTTCTTCTACCACAGTTTGCACAATCATTTCTGGGGGTGAAGATGTAGTTTAATACTTTCAAGCTAGTACTAATACAAAGCTGAACTCAGGCCAACTATCTTGCCCACTACTAGCCGTGGGGACAAGCTGACCACCTCTGTCAGATAGCAACAGATATTTTATTTCTGTTTCTGACAGGACAAAAAAAAAAAAAAAAGCAAATGATTACACAGCACACACACCAAAAGCCTACTAGATCCTTATGAAAACTCAAACTCCAGTATTATACAGCAGTTTTGTAATTAAAGCAAAAACAGTTACCAGAAGACACTGGCAAATAAAATGCAAATATTCTTTTTTGTTTGTTTGTTTTTTTGTTAATCCTTACTGAGGATATTTTTCCATTGATTTTTTAGGGCGAGTAGGAGAGAGAAGACAGAGAGAAACATCAATGTGTTTAGAAACACATCGATTGGTTGCCTCCTCATGAGCCCCGACCCTGAATCAAACCTGCGACTCTTTGGTGCCCAGGCTGATGCTCTATCAACTGAACCAAACCGGCTAGGGCCAAATGCTCTTTCTTTACTCAACTAACAGAGATGACAGAGTCACCTAAGAGAAAAGGTCCTGCTAACGGTCCTGTCAGGAAGTATTAAGATACAAGAACTCCCTGATGTTACAAAGAACACGTTAACAAATTGCCTTGAGGGTCCCCATTAGCTAAGGTACCTTGAGACCATGAAAGAAGCATAAAATGTTGAGTTTCCTGACAACGTATAGTAATTTTGTTCTAGTCTCTTTTGGGTTGGCTTTGGCCCTTGAGGAGATTCAAGGTGAGAAAGTTCATGCTGTTAGTTGCAGGAAGGACCCCTCCAAAAACTTCCCCTACACCTGCAGGAAACTTTGAAGCTGACAACTACCAAAGTCCAAGCAGGATGAATTAATAATGTGCCTGGTGACATCTCACAGAGCAGAAACCTCAGGGCTCATAAATCACCAGTGAACACAAGCAAGGTTTCCTAGAACTGGTTTTAAGCAGACGTGAAACAAGAGGCACAGGAGCTGGGCACTAACAGGAGTCCCAGCATTTCATCATGGAAAAAGAGAGCCCCTATCCCCTTAGCTCAAAGGCGGAAAAGTTTTGGCTTTAAGTAGGAAGACTATTTCTTCCTCCATCGTTTGATTAAAATGTGAGGTCAACTCATAGGTCACTGCATCTCAACTACCCTGCCACCACCTACAGGTCCAGCAGACCAACACCAAGACCCTCAGAGCTCTCTCACTTCTCTTCCCTCCCTAACCTGGGCTCTCCTATCTAGCCAATCCAGTCCAAAGCAGACTCTTGGCCAAAGTGTGTACTTCTTTTTTTAATGTTTTTATTGATTTTAGAGAGAGGGAGAGGGAAAGAGAGATAGACACATGGATGAGAGAGAAACATCAACATTGGTGGGCTGCCTCCTGACTGCCCCCCACCGGGGATGGAGCCCGCAGGCCAGGCATGCGCCCCAATGAGAATGGAACCGGTGACCTCCTGGTGCTGGGTCCGATGGTCAACCACTGAGCAACACTGGCCGGGCCAAAGTGTATCATTCTTATCAAGGCCATATTTCAGCTTCTCACTCTCTCCCTAGCTTTCCTTTCCTGACAAATCTCTGGGGTCCTCTTATACCTTAAACGCTAGTTTGGCTGTTGGGGGAGAGGAGACGGGGTTGTGTTGGGATTTCCACATTTCTCCATCCCACTAAGCCTTCCACCTCTTCATTATGCTGCTGTAACCCCTCTCCTAACGTGACTCTCTCAAACCAAGACTGCAGGATTGTGGTAGTCACACCTCACCGAGCACCTGTGGTAGGTGAAGCCATTACTCTCTGACGCTCTGGGAACCTCCAGTCTGCTCCAGTCCCTTTCCCCGGGAGTACCCGGTCAGAGGGGCTTTGTCTGGGCAGTTAGAGGGTCCCACCTCTTCCCAGGCTACCGGCGCCCAGCTCCTCGGGCCTTCCACCTGCTGCTGGTGCCGCCCCACACACGCTACGACAGGCCAGCCGGGAGAGCCCGCTCTCCCATTGGGCAGTCGGCCCGTCCCTCCCACGCCACGTCTCCCGGCACTGCCGAAAAAGGCCCGGGCGGCGGCCTCCGGCACTGGAGCGAGCGATGTGTTGGAAGCTCTACCTGGAAGGGGTTTACGTCCATTGGGTCCGCGAAGGGGTTGGTGTCAAAGGCTGACATGGCAGTCGGGGGCTGACGGGCGAGCTTCGCGAGCGCTTCTGCCTCCGGGCACCGAGACCCAGCGGCTCTCTCTTGGCAGACCCTCCACTTCCGGGAGCGAGACGGCCGTTCCGGCGCAGGCGCAGCGCCCTCCCCAAGGGGCGTGATCCTGCACGTAACAGAGGTCCGCTCCGCCCTCCTGCCCCGCACTCCTCTGCCTTCTGCTTCTTCCTGGTACCCGTGCTTCCGGGTCGGCGGGCATCCAGGAACTAGGGAGCCAGGCTTGGGGTATCGGAGGCGTTCCCCGCGGCTTCTCTGTCTGACAGCATCGAGATTTGTGTTGGAAACTCCCGTAAACTTTCCAAGTAAACTCCCGTAAGGGGAGCCGGAAACTTACCTCCTTCACTTCCCTGGAGGGCAAGTTTGGGAAGCACACCGGGTGCAGACCGGGGAGGAGATGGAATGTGAGCCTGCTTCTACGCGGGAGTGCTCTGGTGGTAGGGCCGCGCGGAGGCGTTCTCTTCTGAAGAACCAGCCGCGCAGCTGTCCCCCACACTAGCTGAGCTCTGCTTCTTTTAGGCCTTGCCCCTTGATGCCCAGACAGGTTTAGGGCCTAAGCTGGGACTTGAACCTGAGCATCAAGCATTTGTTAAGTGAATGAAGAAGTTCAGCAATACAGCCATCAGCCATGGGGGAGATGGCTGCACTCCTCACAAACTATGTATTCTTCTCTCTGGCTTTGTTCATCTCTGCTACCACCGAATCCAGCCGCTACCATTCCTTGCTCTGGACTAGTACAGGGCTGCTCATTGGTCTTTTGTTCATGTTGTAACCAGAGATCTATTTAAAGGGGACAAAATTGTTATGAAACTTTATGTTGAAAATCCTTAAATTATTTTACATAAAGGCCCAAATTCTTAATTTGGCCTCTTGGTCCCACCCCTTCTTTTGCCCACCCCCATGCATTCCAGTTCTCCTAGTGGCTTTTCAGTTCCTCAGAATTCCCTTATTCCTCCTGCCTCAGGGCCTTTGCACCAGATGTTCCTTCTTCCTGATATGCTCTTAGCTCATGCCCTTATCACCTAGTTAACTCCTAGTATCCTTCAAATTCAAGCTCAGATGCCCCTTTGGAGTGGCCTCTCTTCACACTAGGTTGGATCAGCACCCTTCCCCACACATAAACTCATTATTAGCCTATACCTTTACTTCATAAAACCTTTTGCAGATTGTAGTACACACATGAATAGGTGGTTATTTATTTGTGCCTGTCTCTCCCACTAGATTGTAAGGTACACAGGGGCAGGAGTAGGGTCTGTTTTGCTCACTGTTTATTTCTGGCACTAACAGTACCAGCACACGATAGGCATTTAGTAAATATTTACTATTTCCCTCATCCACTTACCTTCCTCTCCCCTGTCTAAATATCAACTATTTTTAGGTACCAGCTGAACTTTTCTCCAGGAAATGTCCTCAAGTGGGAGAATGGAAAGGGATCCAGGTTTGTGTCCCCTTAGAAACTACCCTACTACCCCCCCCCCCACTACAGCCACCCCTCCAAGGGTAGTATAAGGAAAGACTTGTTTTTCTCCTTTACTACTCATACAGAATACTTCTGGGACCAGACACAGGTTTTGTTTAGTTTTTGCCATACTAACCAATTCTCTGACATAGCTGTGGTCATTCAATTCAGTTCCGATACTATCTACCTGGAGTTAGCATCAGATCCCACAAGTTAAGGGCTAAGTCCCACAAGACTGTCCCCACTTCAGATGGCAATTGCAAGTCTCAGATTGTCACCTGTGCTTCTCCTCTGAACCCCTCAACAGGTTCAATAATTTAAAATTGCTTCCAGAACTCAGAGAAACACGTTTATTGGTTTCTTATATAATAAAGGATATGACAAAGGATACAGATAAACAGCTAGTTGAAGAGATACACAGGGTGAAGTGTGGGTCCTGAGTGCAAGAGCTTCTGTGCCAATGGAGTTGGGATGTATGTGTTCACCAACCTGGAAGCTTTCCAAAGAGAGACTTCATCACATAGGCATGGTCATGACTGACAGTTAACTCAGTCTCTCTCCTCTCCCCTCCCTGGAAGATAGAAGGTAGGGTAGAAAGTTTCAAGCTTCTAATCAAGGCTTGTTCTTTCTGGTGACCAACCACATCCTGAGGCTACCCAGAAGCCCACCAAGAGTTGCTTCATTAGGACAAAAAGTGCTCCAATCACCCAGGAAATTCAAGGGATTTAGGAGCTCTGCCTCAGAAAACATGGTCAGAGGCTAAACTTTAGAACAAAAAGCTGCCCCTAGCACTTTTATTGCTTAGGAAATTACAAAGGTTTTAGGAGTTCTGCACAGGAGCTGTATATTATATCACTAGAGGCCCGGTGCACGGATTCATGCACTGGTGGGGTCCCTCAGCCTGGCCTGCACCCTCTCACAATCCAGGACTCCTCAGGGGATGTCAGACGGCCAGTTTCAGCCCGATCCTCACAAGCCACTGGGCCTCTAGTATGCATATAAGATCTTTGGTTAATCTCTTCCCGCCCTCCCCGCTTCCCTCTGAGATTCATCAGTCTGTTCCATGTTTCCATGCCTGTGCGTTGAGCGTCTGCCCCTTGGTGGTCAGTGCATGTCATAGCTACCAGTTGAACGGTTGAATAGTCACTTAGGCTTTTATATCTATACTAGGGGCCCAGCGCAAAATTCGTGCACCTTGAAAGGAACTGTGGGACCTAACTGGTTTGGCTCAGTGGATAGAGCGTCGGCCTGTGGACTCAAGGGTCCCAGGTTCAATTCCGGTCAAGGGCATGTACCTTGGTTGCAGGCACATACCCAGTGGGGAGTGTATTGGAGGCAGCTGATCGATGTTTCTCTCTCATCGATGTTTCTAACTCTCTATCCCTCTCCCTTCTTCTCTGTAAAAATCAATAAAATATATTTTTTAAAAAAAGAAGAAAGGAACTGTGGGCTACAAGGCTGCGGTGTGCAGAGGGGCGGGTCTTGGCCCATCTCCGTGCCCCCGCCCAGCCCCTCCCCCTGCGGCCCCAGGTCCCCTGTCTGCCAGCAGACCCACTCCTGCCACTGCTGCTCCCATGCGCTGATGGCACTGGCCCCACTCGCACCCACTGATGGTGCAGAGCGATTGGGGTCGGCGCCAGCAGTGGTGCGAGTGGGGCCAGCACCATCAATTGGGTGCGAGCGGCGGCTGGTGCCCCAATTGCCCCTCAGGAGCAGGGGGAGGTGGAGAAGCCCTCAGGGGCGATTGGGACCAGCAGCCGCCGCTCGCACCCGCTGGCGGCACCAAGCGATTGGGGCCAGCGCCAGGCGCCAGCAGCGGGTTCGAGCAGTGGTTCTGGCACCGGCAGCAGGTGCAAGTGCCAGGCGGGACCACGGCATGCAAGAGCAAAGAATTTTCAGTAACCACCAGAGGCTTGCCGGATGACAGCGACTGGTGCCCTGCCTTGGTCTGGTGCCCCCGCTCACCTAGTCCACCATCCATCTGTGGCTGATGCCCGCCATGTTTTGCGTGTGTCCCCTGGTGGTCAGCACACGTCATAGCAACCAGTTGTTTGGTTGTTCCGCCGTTTGGTCTATTTGCATATTAGGGTTTTATATATCTATCCTATCTAATAATAGACAAACATGGTAATTGACCGTACCTTCGCTACTCCTCCCATTGGCTAATCAGAGAGATATGCAAATTAACCCAACCAAGATGGCGGCCAGCAGCCACGCAGCTGAAGCGAGCAGGAGGCTTGCTTGCTCCAGTGATGGAGGAAGCCAAGGTTCCCTGCCTGCC